TGATTTAACTGTGCTGAACTACTCTTACTACTCCCTTTTAAAATTTTTAAAATTCTGTAAATTCTGTTTGTAAAATGACTGGATTCCGCAATTCCGTCCATGTTTTCTGCATCGTGGAAATCATAGGGCCCTAGATAAGTCACATACATCACGCTTTCTTAATAACCTCCAGGTTCAAGCTTCGTATTTGCAGTTGGTATGGATGGATGATCTATATCATAAGCGGTTAGGAGCATTTGGTGTGTGTTTTTCAAAGCTGCGTAAGTGCGTATCTGCAGAACATCAGCCCAGCTTGTTGGACACAGATGTCCAGTATAGATGGCCCTTTAATGGCAACAAGTGTCTCTGCTTTATTGCACGGCTGTTCAAAGCTTCCGGCGTGTCATAAAAGCAATCAGAGTCTATTTCCAAACTGCAAATCTGTCAAGAACGTCTGGATTATTTAGTTGGAAAAGTAATTTGAGGCTTCGTTTACAAAGTGATTGTTGTATTTGGAGCGTGTAAGTGCAAGGATGACTTGTGGCGGCTTTTCTTTTCTTGACTCTTTTTTTTGTCTTTCTGATGGCTTTAACATTCCCTGTCAGCATGCCATACCAGAGAAAGTTCTTGTAAGTTCTGAAGTACAGCTTTTTGTTGATTTTTCGCTATAACGGCACATGTTTTTTTCCCCTCCCGAGTCCCTGCCTCCGCTCCAAAGGGTCAGAGTAATAGCTTATGTATTTATTGTTCTAAGTTTCTGGTTAATGTGAGATAGAAGGATCACTTGGGGGATGGCATTGTTTGGTTTGGGAAGTATTCTGTTGGTTGCATAGCAACAGGCTCCTGGAAACGGGAGTGGACGGTGTTGCCACTAGCAACCGTTGTTGCTCTGCAAACAATGTGGGCCAGTGCAAACAAGAGCCAAGACTGTGGGCTCCTGTTTTTAATTGAACATCTGCTTGTGCTTTGCCCTGATCGAGTGTTGTTTAAGTTCAATCTGTCTGTGACAGATGTGTCTAAACCCTCTTCTCAACACTCACCTCAATCACAGGTATCACTTTATGTTTTCCTTGTCATTTAGGCTAGGCCTGGTTTATTGCCAGCATACTTCCAGGAGAGGATTTCTCTCTTCACACTCCGGTTAATGGGAACAGAAGGAAATGGCTGCGATATTGTGGCGGTCTTTAATAGCTCATTTGTGTTCGGCTGAGGTGAGCGCTTGTGTCGTGTGGCTGGGAGTCTCTGCTCTACTGTAATAAACCGGAAGCCTGTTGAGGACAGGCCTCTCTCGCTCTTCACACCAAAGTGCCGGGGTGCTCCTGTTGTTTTCTGCTTTTGTGCGGCCCGTAGCTGCTGGTGGGGAATTTGTGTGGCTTTTAACCTTCTCTAGGAGCTTAGATGAGATTGACGTGCACGACTAACTAGCCCGCTTCACTCGTTCTCATTATTATTATTATTGAAAAAAGCTAGTGGTTCTGGGAGGTTGTGATGCAAAAATAGTTCACCGTAGGGCTGGGCGATTTTCCCGATTAAATTTTTTAGAAATCGAGGAATCGCGATTTTGAATAGAAATATTACCAAATGTTAGAATTAGACACTTTGACAATATGCCGGTGATTAACAGTAAAGAGAAACGAATGATCCAACCGCATGTTGGCGCACGTGATTAACCGCTCACGTGTGACGCGCTCTGTGAAGGACCATTAATATAGCGCTAAGTGCCATTCACACAGAATGCACTTTTGTGTTGACAAAGATGCGATGTGGGCAGTGGAATAGGTAAAACATGCAAGAAGATGGGAGTGAACTTCTTTTAACTTGAGCGCAGTGTTTTTAGAATGGCGTTTCATGCATGAGACACTGCAAGTGACGCGAGCGCAACAATCAAACACATCCATGTTTACACAGAAAAAAACAATGGAAAAGCAGTGCAATCTAATAAAAAAACCTGTAAAGAACTACTACTGTATGTCTGATATTTCATGTTTGCATCATGGTGACAGACTGAAAGCTGCTGTTGTTTTTAACTCACCCCCATGTCATCCAAGATGTTCATGTCTGTCTTTCTTCAGTAGAAAAGAAATTAAGGTTTTTGAGGAAAACATTCCAGGAATTTTCTCCATATAATGGACTTCAATGGTGACCGACGGGTTGACGGTCCAAATTGCAGTTTCAGTGCAGCTTCAAAGAGCTCTACACGATCCCAGCCGAGGAATAAGTGTCTTAACTATTGAAATGATTGGTCATTTTCTTAAAAATTTTTAAATTGATATACTTTTTAACCACAAATGCTCATCTTGCACTACCTCTGCGATGAGCATGGGCGTCTTCAAGCATTGTGTAATCATGTTGGAAAAGTCATTCGCGGTTAGTTCTTCGTCTGTATACTTTGGTTAAAGGGGTCATATGATGCTTTTTTAAAGATCATTATTTTCTTATCTATGCACAATCAGCTTGTAACACTCCAAAGAGAAAGGAAAACTTGAAATCGCATCATATGACCCCTTTAAAAAAGTTGGGTAGGGCAAAAAACTCCATCTCATTTTCTCACAACATCCTTGTTTTACCTTTTTTTTAAAGGGCATTTGACTTTCTTTGCACGTTCGCTTTGTAAACACTGGGTCGGTACTTCCAAAAAGTATATACATTTGTATTTTTCTTAGAAAATGACAGATTGTTTCGATAGATAAGACCCTTATTCCTCAACTGGGATCATGTAGAACCCCTTTGAAGCTGCATTTAAACTGCAATTTGGACCTTCAACCCGTTGGCCACCATTGAAGTCCACAGTAGGGAGAAAAATCCTGGAATGTTTTCCTCAAAAACCTTAATTTCTCTTCTACTGAAGAAAGACAGACATGAACATCTTGGATGACATGGAGGTGAGTAAATTATCAGAAATTATTATTCTGGAAGTGAACTTCTCTTTTAAGGACATTTTTCATACTTTGTTTCAAGACCCAAATTTTACGTTGGGCATCAAGTGGTGACCCAACAAAGCTATTTGAGAAGTGCTGCTCAGTACTCAGACTGACAGGCTGAAGTAGATTTCTTTCCGAACACCTGAAGGCACACAATGAGCGATCTCTCCCGTTCTCTGGGAATAATAGCAGTAGGCAGAATCAGCTCCAAAGATTACTGTGGCGGGGCCAGCCCAGGACGTATTTATAACCAATGCAACACCCCTCAAGCGAATTCCTTTCTTTTAAAAGATCTAAGCACACCCATACTGTTTACTCTGAGAGTTATGATGAAGCTTATTGGCGTTATGACTCGTGTTTTACCTTACCAGTCTAGTTCATGTGAGAGTTAGACAAAGTCTGTGGGATTTGAACCAAATAACTCCTGTTGACTGATACAGCAAGCCCAGTTGGAAAGCATGACTGTGACCATCTACTCACGTCTAACTGGTGTGAACAAACTGGAAGACTTCCAGCCTGGTGATGACTGGGTGATTACGCCCACACATAATCTGTGCCCGCAAGTCCACAGATTTCCACTGAACTTGAACCCACGTCATTCATAAAATTCTACCAGCCACCGCCCTTTGAGTTTTTTGTTGATTTATCATTAAAAAGCATAATCAAATTAGCTAAAATATTTGAGTGTTGTCATAGTTTCATAGTCATTTTTTAATCTGTTTAGCTAAATCCCTCTCGAAATTGATGCAAGGTCTTCCACAGTCAGAGAAAATTAATGGAAATTAGTAATGCACCAAAATTATTATTATAATTTTTACAGAAACTTAAAATGTAAAGTTTTTATTGAATAAAAAAAAAAAAGAAATTTAAAGTTTTTATTTAGCTGAAAACCAAACAGTTATTTGATGAATTAATTAATCAATGAATTAATCAAATCTATTTAATAATCAACAGTCAAATAATAACTGAGTTGTATAAAATTTTCATTGTCACATAGGGGCAGTTTTCTATCAGTTTTGTAATGATATAATGTTTCTACTCCAATTTATTGTTGCAAAATAAACATTTAAACATATTATTTGAATTGCATAATAAAATTCGAAAACTAAAACTTTGTTTCTTATCAAAAGTAACGAAGCACAATGCTTGTGCTGAAATTTTAGTGCATCACTAATTGTAGTGATCAAAGAATCAATTATTTATTTTCTAGTAATATGGTGCTCTAAAACATTTGATTCCCTATAAAATTTCATTTAGTCATCACGGCTGACTAGAAAATATAATGGAAGTGTTGGAAACGTACTGGTCAAAATGTGTGGGAACACCCAGTGCTGTCGAATCCCCTTTTATTAGCAAAATCTTGGTTTAAAATCATGGATTTTAATGGATTTTTAATTAGGGCTGGGCGATATAGCAAAAAAATTTATCAACGATACAATGTTTCATATCGTTCGGTATCGATAATTATTGACTTTTTTTTATAACCTTTTTTAAAACAAAGAGCAATAGAAAAAATGTTTTAATTTAACCACTGTATTTTTAAATTAACCCAATTTATTGAGACAAACAACAAATATTTTTGTTTTAACAATCAAATTAAAGGATTTTCACAGTATTGACTCTTTGTATAAAGAAGACCGCAAATGTGTGTCAACTGTGTTTAAAAAAAAAAAAAAGACAGATACACCCAGAGGGCATCTGAGTTCATGCTTTTTACTGAACTGACTCATCTGATGTATTCATCACAATCCCTTTATTTTCTGAAAACGGGGATAGTTAAATTTTTCTCCAATTAATTTACCTTTGAATAGAGCTTCACACTTGAGAATTCGTTATTTCTATATTACTGATCTCAGAAAACACAATTAGCTTTTATTCTTTATTCTTCTATTCCCAGAGGAAAACTTTAAGTGCCTGTAATTAGCATCCATTTTTTCCTGCAGATGAAATCATGCGTGTGAAGCGTATTGCTTCTCTTTTGCTCTATTTTAAACTTTAACAACAAACTGTCAGTCAAGGGGTCTCTCGAAGCGCATGAGCTCTCAGATCAACATCCTCTGCTGTTTGTCAGTCACAATCAATGCAGGCGTGCATCGTAAACGCTGTTCTGGGACCTGTTGAGCGGTAAATGCACCGTTGGACTGGTAAAGAGCTTATTTAGATGTACAGAGCTCGGCGCCCCCCCGTAGCTCTCGTTCCCCGTCTCTGAGTCTGTCTGTCTCTCTAGCGCTCCGAAAGTTCCTGTGTGTGAGCTTAAAAAAGAATAGCACAAGGGGAAGGGGGTGGTAGAGTTAGGGATTGTTGCCATGGATCCCTCACCATAGCAACCGACAAACGTTTACAAAGCATTGAGGAATTTCCTCATATCAGCTGTATTATTGGAGCCCCTAGAGACGGACTCTCGTTCCAAACAACCGCTGGAGATCATCAGTATCCTAGTGGGCGGACCAGCCTCATTGCCATTTTAGCTTTTTTTTCCCCCCTGCTCTTTCTTTTCATGATTGGGGGGTATGTTGTTTTTCCCCCTGCTCTCACCTCCTATTCTTTTTTTTTTTTTTTTTTTTTTTTTTTTTTTTTGGGGGGGTATTGCTCAGATCATCATAACTGATCTCACAGGGAATTTTGTATTGAAAATAAAGTTGGCAACCACATGCCTAGCATGAGGTCATGCATTCTGTGTGACATCAATGGGGGTTTTCTTGAATTTCCCAAATGTTTTACAATGGGAGGCTGCTTGGTTTCCAATTGTCACTCTTTTCTACTTTTTCCTGTTGTTCTGTGCACCATCAACGGCTGTGAGAGTTTGGAGAGCTACATCGGGATCTCGACGACAGTGGCAAACTCAAATCTTCACTTGAGCCCAATTCCCCGTCGACTCATTGGGGCCACGTTGCAGTTGTGATGGGATTGTTAATGTCTCCTTTGTTCTTTTCTCCATAATAGAGTTCAGAGGTGAGCGGCCTGCTGGGGATGCGGGTGACTCAGCCTGACTTGGGTAGGTTGAGCTCCTGGTCCTTTCGAAGAAGACAGTGTGAAAAGCCGCTTTGTATCCCACTTTTTCTGGCACATTTGCAGAGTTGTATTTCAGTGGGCTGCTCTTATCTTCTCCAGCAACCTGTTGGCACTCAGTTTGATTGTGTCGTGTATCTTTAGTAGTGGTGGGAATCAGCAGGGATCTCGTGATATAATATTATGTTGAGATGGCAATTGACACATTGCTGTCCTTTATGCTTATTTTGAACTTTTACTGCATTGTTTTTCAGTGATTCAAAAAATGTTATACTTAGTTTGTTCTGATTTGGATCAAATAAAAATAATTGAGCTAATGCTAACATCTTCAAATATTTTGTTAAAATGTTATCCCAAAAACACATTATCCTGAGCTAAGTTATTACAATACTTAGTAGCAATATTAACATAACTAATACTTAACAACTACATACTAAAACTATGTAAACTAAACTGCAAATCTACCATTATTGTCATAAACTTGTGTCTTGATAAACCATGTTGCATACTTTTGAACCTAGCCAAATTCATTGTTTCAAATTTAATTTGGTTTGTACTTTCAAACACTGATTTGTTAACGCTGAAGAAAGAGTTATTAGTATCTGTTAGCATCAGTGTTGGGTGAAACTAGTTACATGTAACGGCATTACGTAAGTTAATTACAAAATAAATGTAACAGTAATCCGTAACGTCGAGAGTGATTCGAAAGCATGCGGAGCCATCTGCTTTGTCATACAACGAGCGGTCTGCATGCGCAGTGCCGCTGAATTAGATGACGTCGTATACGTTTCAAGCCGGCGCGAGAAAGCAAAACCATGACAGAGGATCAAACCTCTTTGAGAATTCTTTCTGCACCTTCACGTTTTGAATCCCATGTGTGGAAATACTTTGGATTTTACACACTGCCGGGAAAACATGACTAAAACCGTATGCAAAGTAACATAGAACTTTATTTTATTTCAGAAAGTATTTTTTTTTTCTACTCATTTTGTTGAACTTTTGACTATTATATTCATGTGCAAGTTCAGGGTTTTGGTACTTGAAAGTTTATGGTTCAAGTTATTTTAAAATATGCACTGTGTATGTGTATGCTCCTGTAATAAAAGTTCAGAAAGATGTGATGCATTGTTTTTGTTAATATGACTCATTTACAGTCTCTTTAAGGGTGTGATCAGGTATTTTCCATTGTCTAGTCTTTAATAAGCAAACAAAATCACAATAAATTGTAATATCGAATCGCAATAGTTATATAATCGCAATACTCAATTATCGCAATATATATTGAATCGGCACACAAGTATCGGGACAGTATTGAATCGGCAGATTAGCGTATCGTCCCAGCCCTAGCACAAATGCACACTTTGCAAAAGCAATCACGCTTTTGACATACTATTGCTAGGTACAATGATTTTGACATGCTAATGTTGCGTGTGGAGTGTTAATCTATTTAATATGGATAGTACGCAAATTGGGAAGCAGCAACTGTTTTTCCTTTTAATATTTTCACTTCCTCTCTCTTTCTTTCTCGCACACTCAGGAGAAACCATGCAGCGGTCAGAGGGCGGCTCAGAGTCGGCATCCACCGTGGCGCTGAGAACGTCCATTTCAGCCCAGGCGCCAGTGGTTCAGCCCGTTCCCGCCTCCCAACAGGTAAGCAGGCTCAGTACGATCTATCAAAACACTGCTGCACAAAAATAGCATAATAAAAATTAAGGAAGCTCCTCCCACATGAGCTGTTTAATATGAAAATCTGAGCTGCTTTAGCTCTTCTGTCATCGGTCTGAATCTCTTTAAAGATGCTTTTCAATATGCACTGGATCCATCTGAAGCGATGAAAGATTTCTCCTCACCCACACCCTTTATCTGTCAAAGCCACTTGAAATGATTAGCAGCGACTTTGCGTGGTGCTGCTGAGGGAGATGTTGGGTTTGGATCAACCACATATCCAAAGAAACTGGTCTTTATGTAATTTCGGTAATAGTTTGAGTAGAGCATCACATTTCCCTGGACCGCTGTAGAGGATTTGATGAAAACCAGCACAGAATGAAATATAGACTCCTAGTATGTAACATTCGTGGTGCTTGCAGTTTGGATCAAAGACGACACTTTTATAAATGAAACTTTCCAGTGATCTTTCTCAAGATATTACAATTTTTCGCTGTGGTTTTTCTTCTTCTTTTTTTTTTGTGTGTAAATGTGTGAAATTTGACGCAACAAAGAAACGCCCTGCCACCCATCTTCCATTATTTGGACAGACAGGTAGTCCCACCCCAAGCTCACACCAATTGGTTGAGACAAAAGTTTTGGAAATTGCCACAAAAATTGCTTACTTACAGTTTTCTTTCCATATTAAACTGGGATAATGGCATTCTGACATCGAAACAATTACGCACCTGACCTTTTAAAGAGAAAAGGGTCTAATTTTTACGTTTGTGTGTGTGTGTGTCCCTCACCTGCAGCGTGTGTTAGTTCAGGCCACCGGCTCTTCCCAGAAGGGAGCTCAGGTGCAGCAGTTGCCAGTGCCTAAAGTGCAACAGATCCCTCAGCAGGTACACACACACACACACACACAGGACAGTCAATCAAGCCCTGCACGCTGCACATCCTGAGGACCCACAACCCCTCTGGCTTATCTTTTGCCTCTCTACATATCTCTTTCGCGCTCTCGTGACTGTCTTTGTCTTTCCATCACGCTCTCTCTCTCCCAGCATACTGTCAGAACCCTGAAACGCAGACATGCTGTACTTTCACGCACGTCACGCTTGGGCTGTTGTGACTAATATGTTAATAAGTAGTTTCCCGGCTTGACAGGGCGTCTCTGATTGTTGAGGTGAAGCTTTGTACTCACTGCCCCCTACTGCCTGCAGCCTGCATACAGCTGTTTGTCTCGTTTGCCTTACAGAATCTGTATTATCACATCTCAGAACTCATGCGGTGGTTATTTAGCACCAGTCTGATCCGTACGTCTGTGTGTGTTTAAAGGTCCAACAGGTTCAGCATGTGTACCAGTCCCAGGTGCAGTACGTGGAGGGGGCAGAGGCCGTCTACCCCAATGGCACAATGTAAGCCCCTATCAATATATTAAACCAATCTGTCAAACCTGCTTTCAGTTGTTCACTTTGTGCAGGCAACTTATTATTGAAGACTTCCTATTGATGCTGAAGCATAATGTCATGAGTATTATTATACTGGTGCTTTCCATGCATTTTTTTAAGCAAACATTGTGACATTCATTTAAATCGTGACACTGCGGATTTAGTATAATACACCTAATAAGTAATTAAAACTATTGGACCCTTTTTTAAATCGTAGATCGAAGAATATATAATATTTACTTAGACAATCATATTTTTTTTCCAAGGTTACCCACTTTTCTCTAACCACTTGAGCCTAATGAAAAGGAAATTAATTTCCTTTTTTCAGGAGCCTTTAGTGATTCAGGCCCCATTTTTGTGGAAAGTGCTTTTTTTTTTTTTTTTACGTGTATAATGACTGGCTGTGTTTTAATATATAGTCTGAAAGCCATATCAGTAATGAAAACCCTAGTAGCTTTCTGTCTTTTTTTGTGAATGTTCATGTCCACTGTGTAAATAATTAACTAATTAAATATTAATAAATTAGCTAATATAAATGCTCCAAAATTGTAAAATATGGCCTCTTTAACTGAAAGATGAAAGATGTTTATTCAGGATATAGATGAGGTCCAGATCAAATCCAACTTCTGTTACATACTGTTGAAAAGTTGACAATCAAAAGATGTTCTTTGAAAGTCCTTTGTCTTTGTCTTTTTCTTCAGTCGTACTGCATACTCATACAACCCAGAGTCCCAGCTGTACGGACAGGGCAGCGGAAGCACCTATTTTGACACTCAAGCAGGTGGTACTCAGGTTACCACCGTCGTCTCCTCTGCAGGCGGAGTGCCCACTCACAGCATGGTGGGAATCGCCATGGATGTGGGCAGCAGTCAGATCATTTCCAGCGGTAGTGCCTACTTGATCCACGGCGGGATGGAGAGCGGCCGCCACCACACCTCTCACTCCTCACGCTCTTCGTCCGCAATGGTATGGTTCGCTGTGCTGAAATCCTTCAAGACTGGTCCACTACTGACATGGGAGGGGAGTTTTTAGTCTCCGTTACTTTGAGCGCTTAGAAAGCTGTGGTTTTGGAAATGTGAGCAGTCTTATAATGCTGTTTTGTTGTTTAGATGATGTGTGACAGGAATGTGCTTTCCATGTCTTTTAACGCAGAAAAAAATTGCAACTCATCCCTCAGTTTATAAAAGCAAACAAACACATACTAACATTGTCTTTGCGAAATTGTTTCCGATATTTTAACTCCTGCCTGATATGTGCAAGGATACCAGAATGTTTATGCAGAGAATTAAGTGAGTAAAGCATAAATGGAAGTTTACCCGCCTAGAAAAGTTGGCAAATTTATAACTGAAAGAGAACACATTTTTGTGTGAAAGACATAATATCACTGTAACATAAATATACAGGCTGCATTTCTGCTCACATCTCTAGAATTTTTTCAAGCTGAAGGATGAGTCAAAATGACTTTCTGTGGTAATCCGCAATATGTCTCGGATGATGTTGACAGAGCTCAACTTACATTCCCTAAGACAAAAGTGTTTTGCTATTATGTGCATTTCTGAAACAGTAACGTCACAGATTAATCATGCAAACACATGTTTTCCCTTACCAATACTCTGGAGAGAAGAGATGACACACACTGTCATCAGAGTGCAGCTTTTTTTCCACAGTGTGCTAGTTTATGAGGTGGGCTGGAAGCAGGGACAGGGTTTAAGGAGGCGACTGCCTCTAAATAATCCAGCTCTTCCTTGTTTTAGCAGTTTTCACAGCCACTTGAGTGGCCTCCGAAACAAAGCAACCCCTGGGGCTCATTTGGCCAAGGGCCGTCGGGAGCCTTTTAAAGACTTGGAAGGATCCCTGTTTTTTTTTTCTTTCTTTCTCCCTGTCTCCCTCTTTCTCTTTATAAGTTTCGCCACTCTGCCAAAACTTTCTCTCTCTGCCTCTTTATATCTTTCTCTCCCTCTAATCTTTTCTTCTCAATCCCTTTATTCTAACTTTTGAAATATAATTTTTTTTTCATGCCCACTATGGAAAAAAACCAGTCTGGTTAATGAATGCAATAGCAGAAACTTATATCCTTCTCCCCAGCTAATACCTGCAGAAAAACATGTTTATTAGAGTCAAATTAAATCTGCTTTTTCAGCATCACGCATTAAATGCGACAGTGTCTATGCAGAGGGCGCAACCCCACTAACTGTGTGATTTCAGAAGTGGCTAGAGAGTTTGTCTCATGTGTTTGAGAGTAGCCTGACCTCACGCCCTGTGTGTGTGGCTCATTAGCATATATGAGGCCGAGACAGGAAGAGTGGCGTAACCCTCTGAGTTCCTCACATTTGCATGCTTTTTGTCCACCCATAATGAATGTGGCTGCAAACACTGACAGACTCTAATGGAAATGCTTAAAGTCCGGCTGCAGCTAACAGACTGATTTCCTTTTCTGTTTTTTTTGTGTGTCTTTTCTCCCTCCCCGTTGTCCTCCCCAACATTCCACCCCTCCATTTTTTTTTCTTCTCTTCCCCCGTTTTTTTATGTCTTGCATGCTCCTACTTTTCCTCAGCTTGAAGTGGCGATTGAAAACCTCCAAAAGTCAGAAGGGATTGCCACTCACAAAAGCAGCCTGCTCAACAGCCATGTAAGTCAAACTGGAAAAAAACTTTATTGAAACTGGAACAAATCCTGAAAAAAAGGCTTCGTTCATCCTGCCTGCCTCTTTGCTTTGCTTTGCTTTTCACTGCTGCTGTGAGCATGCTTTTTCCAGAACGGCCCCTCACTCTGTGTGTTTTGGGTTTAGAGTGCCTCAGACCCCCTGCATTTACATGACACCACTGATTCAGTCAACATCTCAGGGATCACCATGTTTATATGTGTGAGATGTACCCCTGAATATCAAACACTTAAACTTATATTTAAGGATTTTCTCTTTATATTTTAATCTTAAATTGCCAGGGAGTCATATCTAAGTTGAAGCAGTTGGAGTCTTGAGTCCAGAACATTTATTTATCTCATTGTAGACGGACACCTCAATGTAAGGCTATGAATATTTACACTTATACAAAAATCCTTTTCTTGCGTCAGGCCTGAGACGAGACTGACATAATGCTGCTATCAGTGTGTCAGTGGAGGGCCTAATTTGATCCTCACATATTGGCAATTATTGGTCCCTCTCACTCATTTCAAACAGAGGCATTTAAAACTCCCTCTCCCATGTTGTTCCTCAGTTATCAGGAGGCTTGCATGGAATCTGCACCCACAAAATTGCCCAAGAAAGCCCTTCATTCACAAAGTTCTACACACACCCCATCCCTTTTATGTTTATAAAATATTTGACTAAATTTTATAATCCATTCATCTAACTTTTTTAAAAGAAATGGTTCAGTTTGTTGTTTACCCAGCCTCATGTTGTTCCAGTGTTGTTATTGTTTACTAAAACTGTTAAAAATTGTGTTAATTGATATAAATCTAAAATAAAATATAAATATTATAAATATTAAATGAACATTAGAAATGTTGCTGACTACAGCAACTTATTACTGTTACTAAAATTATTATAAATCTGAAATAAAAATAAAATAAAGCTAAATAGAACTATTTAAAAAAACAATCTAATCAAAAACATAAACACTATTAACAAATAAAGCACAATTTCACTTAAAGGGGTCATAGGATGCCCATTTTCCACAAGTTGATATGATTCTTTAGTGTCACACAGACGGCATCTGAGATCGGCTCGATTCGAGAAAGGAGAAAACATTTTAAACGATTAAAAAAAAAACACTGGGTGGATTTTTATCATTATAGGGTGGTTGTGTACACACACTGCCAACACACATTTCAGTTCAAACAACTTGTAAAAGTGCATGTAGCATCCTATGACCCCTTTAAATAAAAAGTTAAACTTGAATTTAAAAAAAAACTCAAAATATTAAAAAGCTGAATCAAAATATTTTTTTTGAATGGTATACAATACAGTAGCTTTGTGTGAGGAACATAAAATATATTTTTTTTTTTCACTAAAAATCTTAATCACATGAGGGTGTTGGGTCAAATGATTATGGTAATATGAATAGGCAGTTTGTATGAAGAAGTGTAATGTGTGGTTTTGTTTATGCTATTATTTTGTGGGGAAAACTGAAAAAGTTTTATTCATTGGCTGTGTGTGTGTGTGTACAGTTGCAGTGGCTGTTGGACAATTATGAGACTGCTGATGGTGTGAGTCTGCCGCGGAGCTCTCTGTATAACCACTATCTGAGACACTGTCAGGAGCAAAAACTGGATCCAGTTAATGCTGCTTCTTTTGGCAAACTCATCCGATCTGTCTTCATGGGCCTTCGCACACGCCGGCTTGGCACCAGGTCTGACTACACCCCCAAAATATAGCTAATCTATAAAGTACATTAACAGCTCATCCACTCTGAAAAGAAAAGCACAATCCAGTCTCAAACCCACAGCAGCACAGGGAAGAACATTGAGTGGATTTACTGCAGACACTCGTCTAATGCTTAAAGAATGATCATGAGATGATGGACTGAAATAAATTACGTTCAGTCTCAAATTGTGGTGTGTTGCTGCTGGAATAAAAAAAATGTGATTGCTCATTTTGTCTGTGTGTGTATGTGTGTGTCTCAGGGGGAACTCAAAATACCATTATTACGGTATTCGTCTGAAGCCTGACTCGCCTCTCAACCGCTTGCAGGAGGACATGCAGTACATGGCAATGAGACAACAACCTGTCCATCAGAAACAGAGGTGAAATAAGCATCCCCTTTCTCTCCTTCTCGCTTGCACGCAATCTTTGTCTCATATCCCAGTCACTTCTTCTTTGCCATCAGGATCTGTGTGTGTTTGTGTGCATGTCTCACTCAATTGTTCAGATCCTGCTAGAGCTTTGTTTTTGTTTTGTTTTTTCTTTGTTTATTAAGTCAGTATGTAATTGATTCCCACACTGGCTGAATAGATGGACACTTACACCCCAGTTTTCTCTCCCTTCAGACCAGGGTAAATATAGTTCATTAAAAACTAAAATAATTAAAATTAATTAATTAATAACTAAAACTGAAAAAAAAAAAAAAACGTTTGTCACTTGACACGATACATTTTAAGTGAAATTTAAAAAAAATTAGACTAATTTTATTTCAGTTAGTTGCCAAATCAGCATTTCTCATTTTCATTTAAATTTGATGTGCTAAAATAATTAAAACTATAAATAAATTAACAAATATTATATAGACAAAAATGATAAAAACAGCTAAATTACTAAAACCTTTGCAGAAATTGAAATGAAAACAGAAACTATAAAAATTAAAATGAATTCAAAATATTAATAAGAACGAATAGTATCTCATCATGATACTATTATACTCTGTAATACTAAAATAACAGACACAGAAATGAGTTGAGAACTTATTTTAACTTTGGAAATTTAATAATTAAATTGATGCAATAGTGAAATTTTATTTACATTTATAGTGAATTAATTCTGTTTCTATTATTTAAATTGATAATTAATTCACACATGATTTTATCTAAAAAAAATAATTTTTATGTCTTATACTGAGTTGTTGTTGTCAAAACTATCAGATTTAAGTGTCAGAACCACTTTTATTAAATTTTTTTTGCATTTGGAAATGCATAGAACAGCTTCATATTGGACACTGGCTCTGCACCCTGATGGAAAATGGTCTTCTGTCTCTCTCTTAGTCATATCCTCTGTAATCCCCAGTAGTGAATTCTACATTTATTCTTCCTGTTGCTATTTCCTGTATCCAGGTTTAAGCCCTTTCACAAGATGGATGGGATGGGGGACAGTCTGAACAGCGGCTCCCAGCACTTGTTCAGCACCCCTGAGCAGAGTGTGGCGGCACAGAGCCAGCACCACCAGCAGTACATTGGTAAACCTCCTCCATGATAAGATTTAATACACTTGATTTTAATTTACATACATTCACATCAAATTCATTCGAATAAATGAACAACAAACTCTAAGGGTGGGTTGCACCAACAAGGATTAATTTAAGTAAAGTTTAGAGCTAATCAAGGATTTGTTGATTTGGGTTTTATTTTAAATCGAGTTGTGTTGCACCACTTAATTTTAAACACAGATTAACAAATCAGGGATTAGAACTCTAACCTGCGATTAAAACCTCCATCTACGATAAATTTTCTCCGCCATGATGGATTACGCCATTGCAATTAAACAGGAACAATGCTAATATTCCTAATTTTTCTTTGCTTACTACCAAACTCTCTTTCTGACATAAAAAGTTGCTCGTGTCAAAAAAGGAAATAAACTTGTAAAATATCTGCCGTCTTAATAAACTGCTATCGTTATTCAAACGGCTGATCAAGCAAGCAATGAATACATTTCTGGCAGTGCATACGGATTTCATAATCCTGGAAATATATTTATAGTAGCAATTAATGGAGTATGTTTTATGACAGCGCCGCCCCGTCTGTTTGATCGCCGCCCAGCAGCCACGCGTGGAGCGGGCGTGAGAAACGAGAGGCGTGGCCGCGATCATTGGCGCTCACTTCATCATCACCGCTGCCGTTAAATGCTATACAGTATATTTCTGTTTTCTTTGTCGTACGCCGAGATGCACCGAGATGAGTGACGGATTCACATCCCGGACTCGAGATGATGGTTTAAATGTAATCCTGCTTATTTTTAAACAAGGTTTAAAGTTTGGTGCAACTGAATTATTAGATAAACCTTGATTTAATCTAGATTAAAGCTTAATCCTTGTTGGTGCAACCCACCCTAAGTGTGCAAGATTTGTGTATGTTTTGGCAGATGTGTCTCACGTCCTGCCCCCCTTCCCTTCTCCTGATCTGGGCTCTCTGCCTGAGCCAATCAGCATGAACGATGTGAAAAAACTACAGAGCAACTACAGGATTCACTGTGAGGTACTGCACACTGTTGTGGAATTTTTTTTTTGTAGTCAAGGCAAAAAGTGTCATGATGCAAATCTGGCAGAGATAAACTCTCACTTACTGTATACCAGAAGAAATTAAATTTCGTTGTTATCGTATGCTTATTCAACTTCAAACAATTTAATAATTTGAAATTAGTATGAAAGTTAAAAAAATTACATGTGAAAACCATTTAAAATAGCGTGAAAGTAAACATAATGTAAATGTGTATATGAATGAATCTGCATGAGTGAGATGAGTGAGAGTAATAAGAATGTTAAAGAATTACAATAATTAATTAAATGTACCACAGCAAATAGTTACACTAATCTATCCAAGCCAGTTTTCTTGCAACAATGTATCACATGTTTTCCACCATGAATGTGAGCCTTGTTCTTACTGGCAGCTAGGATAAGCAAAACAAAGCACCTGCAACATCTCTCAGAGAATGACCTTGTATGAACAATGTTCTTTCATAACTTGTGAAACTTGTGAATTATGTGTCACAGTCTCTGTTGAAGTTAATTTGTTAACAGCATTATATTTAATTATACATATTATACATTTGACATTTTATGATCATTTAATTCTATTTTGTGATTTCTAAAGATTTTAACTTGAGAACAGTCTGAAAGTTTGCAAGAACCCCAGCAGGACTGTCCGTGTTTAATACACAA